GCAAACACTAACCTTGTGAATGTCTAGGATGCATTTTCTTTTAAACTTCAGGACACAAAATATTCATGTACTAAAATGTTGATAAAGTCAAGCAGACAAAAATAAAAGTATTTGTCAATATTGCCTCACATAAGAGTCGTTATCTGTAAATTTAGACATTCATTCATTTATTAATAAACATTTTACAGACAATTAAAGAATATCGTAGGCCTTATATTTAAATTTCATTTTTTCCTGTAGGAAACATCTCACACCGTGAAAGTCGTCATTGCTCTCAAATTTAATGCTCCCAAAGTCAACACATCGAAGTTTAATGTCTATTAATGTCTCTTCTCTGCTTTCGTTCCAAAACGTTTTCTCGTCATTATTTCCCCATCAATGACAGCACTCTATTTTTCTGTTGCAAAATTTCTTCCACCATAAAGCGTCTCCAATAAAGAGAGATCCGAGGTCCCTGGACGCACTCCTGCCTCCCACGGAATTAACACTAAATTCCATCTACCTAGGTATACAGTAACGTGTAATGCTATGGGGAGCTTACTGTTATTACGCTGAAAGACGAAAAATTTGCTATAACCAAGAAGGTGATAAAGAACATCCTGATACATGTAGTTGTGGATCACTAGATAATGCGCAATACCATTTCCAAGGCCATTGGTAACACAAATTGGTTGGTGTTTAGTAGAATACCGATAACATTAGCAAATTCATCTTCTCCTGGAAATGAAACACGGTGTGACAAAATGAAATCAACAAGGAAGACATTAAGTAGGTATCTTCCCGATCTGTACCTCCATTTATGAACGACCCCGGACCCATACCGCAGACAAATCAGTATTGTCTGGAGCACAGGGAATCCTCCATTTGTTCTCTTGTCCAAGATTTTTTAAAAAAACCTCTACAACAAGGACGTTCGACCTGTAAATGCAGCAAGATGAGCGCATGTCCAGTCGTTTGATGTCGTTGTCGGTTTGTTTGTTGTCAGAATTATTTCTACATTTTTCTCCCATCCATGTAACACACATAGGTGAAGTGGGACTACAGTTTGACTTCCATGTAAACGATACGTAATAATTAAGGAATGTTCAAATAAGGGTATCGGAACGAAAAGTGTACCAAGAAGGTCATGCAAGTTTTTGTGCGTTTTGATGCACTGAAGGATAGACAAACTGTTGAGAAATTCTATAAGGTTCATTGAAAGATAAATTTGGAATTAATAATTGTTCCTCGGTTAAAACAAAAAATTTTTCATCATAAGTTGTGAAAATTTCCTCATTATGTTGTATTTTGAGATTCTGCTCTAAAGAGGTGGTCAATGATTGTTTTCCGTGAAAAAAAACGTCCTTCGGCGTTATACTTCTGGACTTCACAAGCATGTTCCTTCTTAATCCAATCAATATTAAAAATTGTCCATTATTGCTACATGCAAATATTGAATAAAATTTTGACTTTCATATATCAAGAAATACTTTATCAAAAATTTGAAGATTTAATGTAATCATCAAGGAGAGCAAAATTCTGTCGATTGGGTTCGAAACAAAACTCACTTGACTCAGCCTTTTCTTTCGGTCTAAGAAAATATTGCGGTGTCATATATTCATATAATTATTTGTATTCTAAACGATCTCGTCGTGTTGTTACGGCATGGCATCGCAAACTAAATACCTAAGGCTACTAAAATAGATAATTTGATATACTAGTAATATTTAAAAAGTAATGGTTCCTTGACTAGTTTGTACGAAGGAAATAAATCGATATTTGAGTGTTTAAACGCAAAAATCTAAACCGACTGGAAAACAAGGTCCGCTGTCGGACAAAAAAATTCATGCTAATATTTAGTAGAAGAATGGTTGTAGACTTCTTTTTAAGTCGTTTTCACCCACAGGACAGGGCTTCAAAGGCCAAAGCATTGGTTAAATATTATTTGATTTAATTCCATTCAAGTATTTCGACTTTTTCGACAGCTTGTCACATACAATACTAAAAATTATTTCCCTTTGCTTTATGGTAAGTTTATAAATGAATTAGGATTTTAGTAAGAGATCTAAATAAAGATAAAGAATCTATGTAGTTTAGGTATTTTTTTTATTTTAAGGTACCTGTAAAAAGATAATAGATAGTTGGAGTGAAATGATATTCTATCTATGAATTATTTATTTATATTAAATAATATTCTAGTTATAATTCTGTGTCACAAGTCGAAAGTTATAAAAATATTCCTACAAACGAAAATCGCCCAGAGATTATGTCTTTTTTCCAGTCTGTTACTTGGAATAAATAACAAATCTCTTTCGACTAAGAATCAAACATGTCAATGTATTCTTATCTTTAGAGTAAAAACTACGGTACTTTCAGTTTAATTATTTCATGTTCTTCAATTCACTTTAAAATTCAAAAGTTTGTTAATATAATAGTTTGCCGTTAAGCAATTTCAAACAATACTAGTATTGATAAAGTTCCAATTCATTCTTTCAAAGCATTGATTGTAAACGGAGTTTTTTAACAGTTTTATCTGTTCATTTTTCATATACAATCTGTTAACATAAAAGAACTTGTAATTCTATTGATATGTATTTTTGAAACCGATGACAATTTTTTTTTTGAAATTAAAAAGTAGGGAAGAATGCGGGTTTTTTTCTTGAGTGTTTTGATTTTGAGATGGAAATGCATATATAACTTTGGATTATAATCTTAGAAGGTAAGTACACTTAATACAATTACTTCTGTTCATCTGATACAAAAATTAATTAGTGGATGTTAAAGATAGAATTCTTCAGTTTTAACAATAGCTAAATTTTCTTCTGTCAAAAAGCAATGGAATCGATATCGTAGAAATTGACTTTCTGATCAGTCGAAAATGTTTTAAAGAATTATAATAGAACTAATTTTAGGATAGAATCTATTTTTAGAACTAGGTATTTTATGGTTATTTTAAAATTTCAGATAATCATGTACATGAATATATTATTAATTAAATGGCGTTGTGTTTATATTCAATAGTACTGGATGCATGTAGTTGAGTCTTGGCGTGGAGTGAAGTTTTAGATTCAGATTTTAGAGTTAATTTTTTAAAACATGAATAAATGAAAAGATCTTCAAGAAATAATTGCATTATAAATTCTTAATTTATTTGCATGGTTGTCGAATGCATGACATTTTGTGGCTAAATAGATGAGTAATTCATAAAAAGAATGACCCAAGTAAAATTTGCAAGCTTCTGTCACTGATGCAATTAGAACTTGAGAAAATTAAAACATTACTGTAGGATTAGAACGACATGTTATTGATGAGAAAACCCATGCTCTTTAGCAACTGTTATTATTCAAGAGATATTATCGGTCCTGTTGGTTGTTTAAATTCAGTTTCATTGGATGTGTTAATTTAACATTCTTGTCCAGAGCTATAGGTTCAGAGTTTAAGCAATGGAGGGCGTTTTTCAAAATTTCAATCGCCTATTATTTACCTAACATGGAACTATATATGAACACCTTACCACGGAAGTAACTTGCATGAACAAATTTAGAAAAAATAACAATCTTGCAACATTTTATTAGCCTACATTGTACAGATCAAATATGTGGTCCAATACTCAGTACCTATAATGTTTTACCAGATATAACATAAGATTTGACAGAAAAAAAAATGTGTTGAAAGCAATGGCGGCCATTGTTTTACGCAATTCAATTTAATAAGAATAGTCACTGTTTTATATATAACTAATATTAACAATGATTGATTGATTGATTGTATATTGTTTAACGTCCCTCTCGAGAATTTTTCACTCATATGGAGACACCACCACTTGCTGGTGGAGGGCTACAAATTTAGTCCTATGCTCGGCACTCAGGGCCTTTGAGCAGTGAGGGATCTTTTTCGTGCCAGCACCTACTGCGACACGGGGCCTCGGTTTATACGGTCTCATCCGAAAGACCGGTCTCCACGTCCCGCAGTGGGATTCGAACCCGCAACGTAAGGATTGACTCCTTACTTCGCGACTCTAGAGCAGACGCTCTAACCATTGCGCCATGCAGGCGACTAATATTAACAATAAAAGTTGAATTAATTTCCGTGACCCCTCTCTTAAGGACTAGGCAGAAATTAGATGCAGCCACTGTATGTCCCACATATCACATATCAGGTGTTCCTTTTATCAGAATCTGTCAGGAGATATTTATACAAAAATAGGAAGTGATTTGCGATTATAACAATCTATTTATTCACATCAGAATATTTTCTTTAAAATGTAGAATATGTGTTCGTATATCTCAGCAATAATCAATGAAATCGCAGTATAATGGTCACATGGAGGTCACATTTGTTTTACCTTATATTGAAAAGGATTTTATTATAAACACAAAAAAGTGATCTTATTTGAATGCCTCGATTAATCTTTTGTTTTTCTAATAATGTCTGTGCAATCTAAAACATATCTATACCAGCTTTCTTAATTTATAACTTCCTATAAACAATTATAAAACAAACCAGCTTAAAAGAATAAAATTACTGAAGAATACGTGGATATAAAATCATCCTTACATATCAAAATATCGGATTAAACATAGTAACAAATTAGACATCACGATCAAGAACATGGCAGTGTGATCTCTCCATGAGGTAAAAGATAGACACTTTTAAAAATGAAGGTTGCATATACAAAGATTCGCAAAAAGAACAAGTTTTCTTAATGTTCGAATACCACCCCAGACAATTTATATTTCTTTATAATATGCTGAGTTTTTGATACGGGATTCAAACTTTTATTCGATAGCTATATTGTCATTAGGTGGTAGTAAGGGGTTCAAATCATTTATATATGATTATTTACTTCCATTAAAACAAAGAGTTCCATCATTTGTAACGTTTTTACCAAAACAATTAAACAATACAATTTTTCAACTTTGTATGTCATGAAAATGGCTTATTACAAATTTTACCCCTTTTTAAAAAAAACCTCAATGATCCGTTAAGAGATTTTCTTTCTTTTTAATCCAGGAATAAATATGGCTTGCGGTAAATATATTTCAACAAAGGAGACAACCCATGCTGCCCGTTTGTCTCGACTTTTGGTGGATCCATGTACAGATCTTTTCAGAGATCTCCGGGTCCATGTAACTGAAGTCCAGTTTCCATTCGTCCTTCAAAACTGCAAAGCAATTTTATTACCCATCATTAACAAAGTCCAGAGAAATTTACTTTATCCCAAATCAAAACAATTTCTGGGAACATATGAAGATCTTGACTTGTCTTTGCTTTACATTCTATTGAGAAATATATCAGGGATACCACCCCACAAGAACGGATGGGGTAAACAACCAGATCCAATAGACAGATCTCTCTCCGCCAACATTGATCGCATTAGAGAGACAAGAAATACCTATTGTGGACATGCATCTCGAGTTTCACTTAATGAGACGGATTTTAACAACATCTGGCATGACCTAGTGTTAATAATCTCTGAACTTGAAGGAAGTCTATGGGCAGGATGTACAAAGTATACAGATGCAGCTAAGATGATAAAAACTGATACAATGGACCCAGAAAGAGAAGAGAGATATTTAGACACAATTGATAACCAGTATGAATGCATCAAAGATTTAAAAGGTTTTTCGCCACTTTTCGACTTGTTAATGAAATAAAGCAATTCCATTTTTTTTTTTAATCACAGTAAACATTTTTATATAAAAAAAGTGTATTTAAATTTGTTTTGCTGGTTAATTTTAAATCTGATTGAGTTTACTCAAGATATCATGCATGATTTCATGATATTATTTCAGAATCAGCAACAAGAATAATAAAGGAACAGGAAAAAATATTCGAAAAACAACACCAGCTACAAGAAAAGCAGGACAGACTTGCGCATGGACTACAACAACAAACGCATGAATTAAGCCCTCACTTACACAAAAAAGAAGAAGAATTGAAATCAGAATTGCAAAGACATGAAGTTGAACTTAAATATCAACAACAGAAACAGAAGAAAGAAATGAAATCTGTACTACAAAGACAAGAAACAAGGTTTCGATGTAAACAACAAAGATGTGATACAAAACTTAAATATGCGTTGCAAACACAGAAATCAGAACTTACAAATGAACAAGAAAAACTAGACATTGAACTGAAATGCGCGCTGCAAAAGCAGGAAACGTTCCTGATGTCAGAAATGCAGAAACAAGGACTGGAGCAAAGAACTGAGCAACAATCGCATAAAGCAGGATTAGAGGTGGTCAAAGAACGACTTTCAGTAATAGGTAAATTATTCACATGCACTAAAACGTATAACTTATTCGTATAATGTATGCATGAATGTATTAAAGATATTTTTCTATTGATTGAATTTTTCAAGAGTTTACTGGAAAAACAGTTTTAGAACAGTGTTTCAGTGTTATAGTTCACTAGATCTAGATATCTTTCTACTGGTATTCTTTGTGTTGAAACAATGATCATTTACATAAAAACTCTTTATTTTTCAGTATCGTTTATTTATCAAACGGAGGGGCACAAGGTTTCAATAGAATATTTCTAGAATGAATAAAAAATATGCTGTTTGTAGGGAAAAAAGAAATATATCGTTTAAAATACTTTGTCTAGATTTGAAATAGTTTACCTGATAATGTCTTTTCTGAATTGAAATGTTCTTACAAAATTAATTTCCTTCAACAGAAAAACATTCTGAATGCGAAAGAAATAACATTCTGGGTAAGTCACGCCATTTCTTTAGAATTATACAATTAATTTGATGAAATATTTTAAACAATGACCTGAATTTCTTATAGTGTTCTACATTGTCAATGTTTTGCCGAGTTTATATGCCTAATTTTTGTATTTTTGTATACATTTCATACTTAATGCATATTGAAAATATGTACAGCGTTACATTTATAAATACAAATTGCGCATATCATACGTTCAATAATAGTCGGGTGAGCTCTTATAAATATATTTTTTCAGATAACACAGTAGCAATTCTTCAAGCTAAAAGGTCCAACAGTGTCTATGTAAGGATATCAGTTGTAGAAAGAATTATAGAAAAACTCAAAGAACATCGATTTTTAATATTGACGGGGAAAGCAGGAAGTGGAAAAACAACTACAGCTTATCACGTGATGTGTGAGCTGTCAAGTGAGTCGTATACACCTGTTCTATTAAGTTCTCCCGAGGAGTGGAACAAAGTTATCAACCCTTTTCAGCAATATTTTGTTTTCCTTGATGACTTCATTGGATCAAAAAATTTTGATGAAGTAGCTTTTGATAAATGGAAGACGAAATTTGATGCAATATCTGCATGCACTGTAGCAACCTCTAATGATAAAACGCCGCTTAATGATAGAAATAGCATTAAGCGTTGCAATTGCAACGCTTAATGCCAAAAATTATTGCATTAATAGCTGACATCATCAACCGCTAATGCTCAATCGCCGCTTAATGATAGAATTATATCATTAAGCGTCACAAATGCATTGCAACATCGACGCTTAATGAAACAAGCAAATATCGACATATTCGACGCTTAATGATACACACTTGTGTATCATTAAGCGTTGCAGTTGCAACCCTTAATGATATAAAATTTAGAAATAGCTTGTAATATCTAAGAGAAACACACATCCACCTTTCCTGAACAATGAGATATCACTTGTCAAAATATTTATATACACCCTTGTGCTATATACAAATGTAAATAGTAATTATTGAAGTTTTTCTGCATGTGTTTTCTATTTAGTCAAGGGAACATCTTCACGCCATGGGTGTTTAATAGATAGCTGGAAGAAAGAGATACAAACAAAGAGATAAATGAATGATATTCAAATCCTTTATATATATATATATATATATATATATATATATATATATATATATATATATATATATATATATATATATATATATATATATATATATATATATATATATACAGTGGCTGGGACGTTATTGATGACAACTTACACGAACGATCACGTTACACGAACGATTCCGCACGATTAACGCACGATTAAACCTGTTACACGAACGATCTTTCACGTTCACGATTCTACACGTTACACGATCTTGCACGATTGTTAACGTAAACGCACGTTTCTTCCCTCAAAATGGTTCAAAATATTTAGGAATTTGATATTTTCAAAACGAAATAAAGCTTAATACTTATTTAAGATTTCAAAGAATTATCAATATTATTTCATAGACTTTGAAAAAAAAACGGAAAATGATATTTCTGTAACTAAATATATGCAAGACTTAATATTTCAGATTAAGAATAATTATTTCTAAGGTAATTCTCCGATCAAAGAAAACGGATTTTGTTCGTTCTATTAGACGATGTACATTATGTGGGTCTTATAATTTGATTGAATTGGATATCATGACATGCAGAAAGGGGGATACGATTCCACAAAAATGGCAGCATTGAATGACTTAAATTAAAATTACAAATTTTATCCTTATGTTTCCATTTATTCGATGTCTGATAAACTTGCTAATTATTCAACTTTTTTATTTGCAGAAATTTAAAATTAATTAGTTACAAATAAACTCAAGAGATAAACACAGATAACCAAAACTCCCGAAAATCATGCCGTGTGCATGTATATTTGTCGACTAACTGCAATGTAGCTATGTAAACATTGAGAAATGTTTATTTCTTTGTAAAAAAAAAATATTTTTTTAAATGAATTGATTTCAAGATTATCTTGACCACAATAAGAAGTAAATAATAATTAAATCAGATTTTTCAGAAAGGCGTAAGAGATCTAAGTACGGTTTATCACAATATTGATCGCACTATTTGACGAGAAATTAATATTGTACGACTTACTATATTGCTTGTTTACGAGCGATAATTCGTTCGTTCTGTATTCTATTATGTAAGTTGCGCTTTTTCATTTTACTTTGATTTTATTTAATAAATTTAGAAAAACAAACAAGGGAAATGCTTATTTTAGAAATAACATTCCGATAAAAACTTACAAAACGAAATTTACACGATTCTAAACGCCCGATCTCGCACGATTAAAAACGCACACGATTGAGTCTGATACACGAACGATCTTTCACGTTAAACGAACGATCACTCACTATACACGAACGATTCTACACGATTGGTTTGTCAACAATAACGTTCCAGCCACTGTATAGAGACAGTCATAGTACAAAACATGAATACTACTTACAGTTACTCACAGTTTTCTTAATCAGAGTTCCCTCATTTAAACCTCTCAGTAGTCAATTTGAGGAAATCTGACATGTGATGGAAACATTACTTTCTATTTCTTTTGCCAATCTTAGACTAGTTAATTTATTATATTAAGCAATAAAACATTTAAATCCTACTTCAAAAGCATTTTAAATTGAATAAGTTGTATTTTTTATAGACTATTTTAATAATGGTTTAATGTTTCAATTACTT